CATACCAACCAAAGAATGAAGACCTACGAAAACTCCCTCCGAAGGAGCTGGTTCGATTCCTCGATATACTAAATATCTAAATACAAAGGGGTGCACAATAGATCAAACTGGTCGCAGTGCATAGGGGCGTTAACCTAACCCAAGTACCATTAACCATTAATGTGTATTACCGTTGCTCTTGACACTTCAGCTATTATTTTATATTGATATATGTATGTTGAAAAGAAGATGGTAAATACCGTAAATGTTGTGTAATAGCAAACGCCGTCATACCAAGTCAGAAACCAAGTTTGATGTAATATTAACATACTATGTTTGCTCAACTATTTCGCCAACAGAGCGTTGCCACATCATCCTGCTTAATCCTTATCCAATTTCACAACAAAATTCAAAGCAAGTAGATTCGCAAATTATTTGTTCGCAGATATTAAGGTTTATGAAATGTAGCAAATAAATTAAAAATTGCATTGTATATTAATTATAATTGACGATAAAATTGTTCATTTCCGTTTCCAAAATGGTTTTTAATTCTAATTGTTTCAAAAACCAAATCTTTTCCTGTCAAATTGTTTCAAATTAAAATTTCGTTTTATTAACCAAGCCAATTTAGCTTGCGACATGAACACACCATCTGTCTCCTTACTAGTTTTTTAGAACGTGAACAGAAAATTGTTAAATTAAAGTAATTTTTAATTTGAAGTTTACTGCATATACGTATGGAAATAGCCGTATGATTTTAATTCTTAACTTTAATTTTTTATTGTATTCGGTAATAATATTTTATGTCTCACTAAGGGAGTTCGGTTTATTATTATTGCTATCATTATTCAAACCAACATAGCGTTTAAAGTACAATTTTTTTGGTAATCTTGAACATTTGGCTATTAGTGGGAAAAATATGAAAAATAATTATAATTATTACAAGGATTTGCCAAGGTTTAAAATTTTCCAAATTTTTGCTAAATCTCAGTTTCGCTAAAATTTCAAAGAAAATATTTGGATTTCACAACAAATTCTAAAATGAATGAAATCAAATGCAAGTTAACACCCTGTATCACTATAACGGCAATTTGCCTCTACACACAATTTTTGTATCTCAAGTTTGCGTATCCAAGTATTGCGCATTAAAATATCTCACAACGCCTACTCGTGATTGTGTATTTAATTACAATCAGGCTTAATGCCTGAAAATCTTATGGCAACATTGTAGCAAAATGTTTTCTTTTTAAACTGCAAGTATCTAGCTGAAAATATGTCAAGTATCATTTGAAATACTTGATCGATGAGATGTCCAAATACTTTTAGACATGAATCTCGTCATCTGGCTATTGACGCTAAAGCTAAAGACGCTTACGAGGCGCTTTAGAAAATAGAAGCTCCAATCCTACAGAATGGAGATAAAGAGTCACTAGATCACTCTTATGAATATTAGAAGCTATAATTCGAGTGATGAAAAGGAAACTTTAAAAAGCCAGTCGTTGGTAGAATCTCGAAAAGTTCAGTCTTCATCTAAGAAGTCGTTGGGAAAATCTTCGCCTAACAAGTCGTTGAAAAAAATCTAATTAAGTTGAGTCGTCGGAATATATTGATTAAAAATTAAATATCTTATTTAAATTATAAATTAATTCTATATGAGTGTTAAATATTCAATGATAAAAATATTTTAAGTTTAATTTATAAATAAAATATATTTTTTTTAAACTTTAAAACAAGAACCAATTTATTAATTTGCATTGAAAACCAGCCAAAAAAATTATATTGACAGCTAAAAATTAAAATTATATGATATTATTGTTTTGATATTCTCATTAATTACTCTTCTTGATTTCTCTCTTGTTAAATGCACATTTGTATACATAAAAATATCAACAAGTCGTTTTTTTGCAACATTTTTTATTT